AGCATGTCAGTAAACTCTTGCTAATGGATACAGACAGCCATGAACCGTTGTCGTTTCTCAAGCACTCTCTCTGAAAGACATTGCAGGACGATAATAACGTTTTTTTGTTTTTGTTTTTGTTTTTTTCTTGTTGGGAGAAAGGCTGGTGGTGTGGCAGCGCCGTGCGGTTTCCTGCTGTCTGCTAGTCCTGAGAGCTGCGGGTTTCGCTTTCCTCATCCAGCTCCCACTCAAAGTTCTGGCCCGTCATTTGGTAGAACATCTGGTTAAAGGGTTTGTAGAACTTGTGGAGCCGCCTGATCACGTCGGCTTCGATATTAGGGTGAGTTCTCCCTTTAGACTTCCCGAGGCACCTGGGAGTGCTGCTGTCCTCGGGCTTCTTCAGACAGGGGAACCCTTTCGTTTTATTGAAGTAAAAGTGTTTGTCCGTGACAATCCGCTTTAGTCCCAAGAAGTCTTGCACCCTGGCCATCTCACCCGCCGGGTCGACGATCAGCCTTTCCCCGCTGACAAAGTGCATCTGGGAGAGAGGAAAGTACTGCATCCAGCTCTCCAGGTGAAGTGCGTATATTCCTATGCGTAGTGCGCTCCACGAGGCGTCTATAAGACCCAGCGTCCGGTTCTTGAAAGCCAGAACCTCGAAGGTCGGAATCTCTGGCTTCTTGGACAAAGTCTGCGTGTAGTCCGAAATGGCTCTGGTGACAGGATTCCGCACCACAATGATGAGTTTGATGTCCTTGGCCATGGAGTAAATACGCTTGGGGGCGTGGTTTGTCACAAAGTAACTGGGCGTCTTCTCCATGGTGATCTGACCATCCAGTGTCGAAGGCATCAGGTCCCTGGTAAAAAAAAAAAAAACGATAGCAGGGAACAAAAGAAAGAGAAGCAGCTTAGAATTGGTGTTGTCTATAAAACAGTCGGTAAAAGCTTGTTATCGTAGAACAGGCAGCAGCCAAATATATTTGTTAAACAACGTCAGAAACATCAATAAAACCTATTTATAAACATATTTATGGGCAGTGTAAATGTAATTAAGCACTACGCACTGCTGGGAACGATCATTCTGCAAAGCACGTAGATTTTTCGCGATTGCACCTCTTATCGACTTTAGTACAAAACATCTAGTTGAAAATGTTAATTATTGTTTGACGCACTCTTCTTGTTCACATTTGATGGCACAAACTCCTTTATTTATTGTAGTGTTTTAACCCAGACATGGGCAAACTGAGGCCCGAGGGCCGGATGCGGCCCATTCAGCTTTTAATCCGGCCCGCTAAAAAACGTCCAAATTATATATTTTCTATATACTGTATTATTATTATACTTCTGCCTTTTCCCTGCAATACCCACGTTTCCCCAATAGATGGCGTAGGAAAGCATTTTAGCCTTTATGCATGACTTTTACATGTCATTTATGTTAGTTCACACAAACGCTCCATCTATCTGCTCCTGACCCGGTGCTCAATTTTAGGACCAATTGTGGCCCGCGAGTTCAAAACGTTTGCCCACGCCTGATTTAACCCTATCGCCGTCCTTCGCATTTTGTTCACACCAAGCGTCCTCTCAACGGGTTTGCCTCTTGTCCCAGAATCAGAGTATGAAGAAAAGTTGACACAAGCTGTACAGTACAGGAACACAGGCACCGAGTCACCTAGACCCAAAGGACAACATAAGCTAAATGATGAGCTCAGGACAACGCTCGGTAATTTGACTCGACGATAAGGTCAGGACAAATAGCAGCGGCTCTATAAATGTTTTTTTTTTAAATACTGTTCTGTTGCATTATGGGTGAGTTAGGAGTTGAAAAATAAACTTGGGTGGCTCACAGGCTTTGGAAGGATTGGTAAGTGGTGCTGGAGAAAAGTACAACTGCAAATGTCAGTGGGGAAGAGGGATATGTCGTTGTTAGAGAAGTCAGAGTGACGTTTTTGAAAGCCCACCTAGCTCTCAGTAACAATCATATTCACCAATACACACTTCAGCTGGTACTGTTAGCGTCTGTGGGTATCCCAGTCACATTTGTGTTTTTTTTTTTTTTTTTCGAAGAATGCAACAGCGTTACCTTAGCATCACAGTTTCTATATTTGCAAATGTTTTGTTTATAGGAATCTGTAGTTAATAAATACTGCTTCATTAATGACGTGTAGTCCAGCTTCAAGTGCAGTATTAGCTTCTGGCCACAGACAATGTTACAAAATATGCAAAAAAAAAATCACCTTTTAATATAAATAAGTAAATAAATAAATAAACAATTTTATGTTTTTTTCAGATCATGAGTAATTAAAAAATATATGTATATATGTTTATTTATATATGTATGTATACACTGTATACGTGTATAGATATGTGCATATAAATATTTATAATTTGATAGTATGTAATAGTGGCAATTTTAGTATCTTTACATATTTTTGTTCAAAATATATATGCATATATGTATATTTATACATGTATGTATTTATGTGTGTATATCTATAATTTTTATAATTTGATAGTATGAAATAGTGACAACCTTATATTTTTACATATTTTTTTCATCAAAATATATGTGTATATATGTACACTTTGATAGTATGTAGTAGTGCCCATAAAATGTATGTGTCATACAGCTACACAATCAAGACACCAACATAAAATATATTCAATTTATATGAGTAAATATATATTTAACAGTTGAAGTGTAGGTAGATCACTTCAGCCTGGTCAATTATATAGTAGCTTCCAGGCCAAAATAGTGTGGACACCCCTGGGATAGATCCTTGTGCCGGGATCTGTGTTGTCTAATATCAACAGTTCTAGTTTAATGGTCCCCCAGTGCCAATGAAAATGACTTAAATGTCATTGGCTACCGGAGTACTGTTATCCACGAGTTAGACACTGTCATGACCACACTATACAGTGCTTCTGAAATCTTTATTATTATATATATATTATTATTAAAAAGTAGCGGCTTATGGTCCGGAAATTACAATAAAAAGCAGCCGAAACCTTTCAAACAAAGTTTTGAATTGAGAATTGTTAGAACTGTTGCAAACGTGGCATAGTGAGATGAAATTCCTGGAGAAATCAATCAAAATCAAGCCTCTGTATGGCTACATTATTGCAATAACATTTGACAACAATGGAGAATTCCCTCTGTCAAACATGTACATGTACACAAAACTGTAATACAAGCTAAATGTATTAAGTCTTGAAATTACAAGTAAAAATACCGGTTATTAACAGTGGACATTATGTTGCGGGGAGAAACTCACGGCTAATTACATCCATGGAGTAATATGTCGAGATGAAAGAAAAGAAGATGAAACGGCAGCTAAACAAGTATGCTCATTGCTTAATTGACTCCATCTGTGTTACTCCAGGAGCTGTTTTGGAACTTTAATAATGAGTTCACTGCATATCATTAATACCCCGGTGCCTGGGGTATTGTTTTGTCATACATTTATTATGCATGCTACACTCACACTCCGCGCAGGCAATTCTACTTCTAATGCACTCCAGCTTCTGCCACGATGGTTTCAGGCTGCCTCGTTTCTTTTCTTCTCCTTCCACGGTTGGGGACGGTTAATTTATGAAAGCTGTAATTAATTATCAGATTCCGGGCAATAATTCGTCGTACGATAGTAACGTCCTTGATGTGATGAATGTATCTTGGTCATTTGCCACAAATATATTTCCTGTCTCTTTTGAGGGGGGAACCGGGGACGGGGGGTCGAGGTGTGGATTTGAGAGCATCACGAGCGCAGGAGCACGTCTTGTTTGAACAGTTTCTATTTCGGTGTCGGTGATAAAACATAGCATTTGCCTGCAGCAAATCCTTATCAAATGTTTACACTGATGTTCGCCGCAATCTGGGGCTGTTTTCTTCGTTCGCGGCCCGTGCAACTCCGCCGCTAAATTGGTACATTAAATCCTCTGCGAGACACGTTGTTTATTTAACGGCTAACAAATACGGGCTCAGGAGCACCACAATAAAAAAAATAAAAAAATAAGAGAGGAGCAGAATCAGAACATGTTTATTCCCTTTACTGGTTAAGTAATGCTTCCGATTCGGACAATGACGCGTGGAAAAGACAACCGAAATCCTAAATGAAGTAGTTCCATTTCCCCTGTTTGTTGTTGTTTTTTCCCCCCTCACTCCTACACTGCCCTCTGTGGCAGACCCATCTTTGTTACGGTACAGTCACATCAATCATTTGCATCATGGACATATTCTAAATTAACTGTTCTCCAGCAAAGAATCCAATTTACTCAGCAAAACCTAAGAGCTGCAGCGCCGGTATCGACCACCCTCACACATGCACGCTCCCCTGGATGCTGAGCAGAATGTCTCACAAGTGGTCTGGTAATTGCATCTCAGTAACAGCAATGCCTTTCTGATGGGTAATTTCCCTCTGGATTATGTTTGTCTCTTGACAGTGAAGACATGCGGTTTCTTTTCGCGGCCTATAGTGGGATATTAAACATTTCAACAGATAGCACTGTAATGAGGAAGAGTATTCATTTTCATTTGATGCTGTCATTTCCTACAGTCCTTTGGTCACAGTCAAGAACGGCAGAGGAGAGGAGCGGGGCCGCAGGGTCTACGTACGTCCGTACGCCGACGATTACGGTTCTATTACAGTACGAGGGAGAAAAACAGGCCAAAACAACAGAAAAAAACGTTTCAGATTTTAGGGTTTACTTCTTACTTCTGGCTACTGCTATGATATTAAAAAAAAATTAAAAAAATACAAATAAATAAATATATACATTAGCATATAGTTTTAGCTTGCTTAGCATTATATGTGATTTTTGGTTAAGTTTTAACTTTGGGCCAATTTCTTTTTTCGCTCAATCTCATCCTTTTGTTATGTGGAGGCTTACTCTTAAAATTTAAATGGAACTTTTCTTATTTTTGTAAAGTTTGTTTTGAAGTTTCCTTTGTACACCGACTCGGCTTTATTAAATTGCTCGCTAGTCCTTTCATTACCTTTGAACTGGTTTGAAATAAACCTTTTCTCGTGATAAGTTATTTTTGGGGTACGTTATTGTTCCCAGTAAGAAAATTATTATTATTTCTGGCTTGCTAACTTTCTAGTACATAAATAAGACGTTGATTTATTTACGTTATAATCACATGACCTGTGTGTTCACTGACACCCAGGCAAACATTTTAACTCCAGTTCTGCGAAAATAATTGACCACAAATAGAGCCCACTTACTACAGCCCAAAAAGCCCATTTAAATACATTATGAGCGCTTTGTAGTAAAATCTCAAAAAATTTTACACTACGCCACCCAGTGACCCCTTAGAAAAACCTCTACTTTTTGTGCCTACGAACAAAAACACTTTGCATCATAAGAAGGTTTGATTCAAAACAACAGCATTTCGAATCACCTTGAAACAACTAACACCAACACTTACTTTATGGACGGCATCACAAAGGTAATGTGTTGTGCATCTTTGAAGCACATCCAATTGACAGGCCAGATGCACAATGTTCAAGGTTACCTTTTCCGAAGGCCGCTATCGGCGTAGCTGTGCTCAATTAACATCATTTGTTTAATGGCAGTACAATGGGAACAGCTTAAGCCGTAGACTTTACTGCTGAAGTTCTGACTGCCAGCCAATCAGTCATGGCTCATGTAGAGTCTCTGCGACGCGGTAGAACTCCAAAAAGCTGACAGACAAACACATTTGTCCATGCATGACAAACGACACCTTCGACTTCCGACTGAAGAACAGTTGACTATCGCTTTTGTTTTTCTCCACATCAGCTGCTCAGCTTAACACAGGTCATTCAGGTAAATGGGCGAATTAAAACTGTGGCACTTAAGAGACCCTTTTGCAAACCAT